TATATATATATATATATATGGCTTTCTTGTGATGGAGTCATTGTACTCACCTAATCCAACCAACTGGATGAGAGATACAGTGACGTTGTCGTCCTCAGACGAGTCACCCTGCTTGTAGATGCTGGACACCGTTAGGCCGAGCAGCACCAGCAGAGACGCTATGGTGAAGCAGAAGTAGAGCTTGAGCAGACAGGACAGCTCTGACCAGGACTTTATCTACAAGAGGGTGGAGATGGAGAGGTCAAAGAATGTGAAACAACAAAGTTTGAATTGACTTTAATGATTATTTAGATGACATTTAAACCCATCTTTACGCCCACACAATTTGTTTCAGTTTCCCTCCATTTCATTACACTTAAAATACAACTTGACCCCCTACTTTCAGAACTACTCATGTTTTTAGCTTCTTTTATGCTGCAGCAGCTCACCGGTCCACATGGTGTCGCGACCAATTCCTGGTGTCTGGGCCTCAGGTTTGGAGACAGAAGATCTGGGCCTTCCTGGGGTTGCCCAGACATCTGGTTGCCCAACAAAGGACTGCAGTGTAAAAAAAAATTAAATAATTACACAGAGGTTCATGTTGGGTAAACAGAAGAGCAGTCCAGTAGAAAGCAGAGGTATCCAAAGATCACAAGAAGCAAGGTATAGAGGAAAACCGGCTGGCACACTTGACATATAAACGACACAAACAAAGGGAGCGCAAAGACCAAATACACCATAGAAACAGTAATGAGGGACAGGTGAAACCAATCAGGGCGGGCTAGGTAATCACACGGGCAGGCAGGAACACACAAGGACAAGTAGTGAAGCTACCTGAAACCAGAAACAAGGTGAGTACTTCAAAAGAAAACATCAATAAACGTGTCTGCAGCGCACAAGGATTTCAAGTACTATTCGGAAAGTCCACACTGCTGACCGTCCCGGTGTCTTTAGGAGGGCCTGACCAAGCACACGGGGGGCCACAACATTGAAGGTTTAGTCAGGAGAATCCTGAAAGTGATCCTGGTGTGAAACCAGAGGGAATGTGGTTCTACCTGAGAGTCAGCTTTCCCATTAATGATTTATATAGTCATGTGAACAGTAATTATTGACAGACCCATGCCTGAGCATGTCGTCTGCAGCAGGTCTTTACAGGCATGGAAGGCAGTTCACGTTTGCTGCTACATGACTTTAGAACCAAACTCTTCTTCATTTTCTTGGAGTAAAGTTTGCAAAGTTTGTAAACGAAGTGAATTCACCAAAGTGCTTCATGAAGCAGCCCTTTTATAATCCGCTTTGGGGGATTAATCACAATAACGTGTTTTTTTTTGTGTAGGACCAAATTGAAAATATTACAAAAATAAATATGTGAATGAAATGGACAAACATATATAAATTAGTTTTTTTGAAAGTTTAAAAGTAACTAAATAACATGATGAATGGCTACAAATCTATTAAATTCAAGCAGGAACACCAAAAATCTGTATTTGTGTACTTTTCTATACGAGTTTTAGCCCGTGTTAGGTTTCAACCTCAAAGTCAACAGATGAACCACAGACATTAATACACACTTTATATAAAGCCTGCACGATTCAGTGAGTTCACATCATCCGTTATTTGATTAAACGTTATGAAGGGTGTGGCGGGTTGGAGTGCTAATAAGCATCAACTAATTACCACTACTGTTACCAGATATCTTAACAGAGTTTGCCATTACATTTCCTCGTGACGGGAAACGACAGAAGAGAGAGAAACATGAACTGCAACAGTTTATAAATAACTATTCAAACTTCTCTACGGACCTTGTCTCGTCCATTTCGTTGTCAGCCTGTAGGAGCCGGATCTAACATTCCTTTTGCTGAAAAATAACAGAATGTCAGTTTCATATTTGACACACAAAAAAAAAATGTAAACAGGAACAAGAGCCCGTTGTGTCACGAGTTCTTCTTCTGCTGCTTTACATTTGGCTGCATGACGGCTGCTGCCCCTGGAGGACAGAGAAGCTTTCTTTGGCTAGTGGAGTGATTGTTACTTAATTCCTTGTGACATTTATGATATTTTGTATGTTTATTTGACTAAATTAATTACTCCTTATTAAACATGCTGCTGTTAAGTGGAGGGGTGAGCGAAGGGGTATTCAGTTGCTTGCAGTCTGCAACTTCACCGCTAGATGCCACTAAATCCTACAAGTGGACCTTACATTTGACGCAATGGATTCACTGAAATGTGCAAAGCGAACGGTCAGGCCGGTAAAAGGAACCTTGCAGCGTCTCTCACACCCCCGAAAACGATTGCAGCAAAATTCCAAATCTGAATCTGCAACATAACTTGCAACATTTCTCTGGAAGATAAATGTACAATGTTTTCCTCTGAAGTAGAAGTAAACAGTATGCATACAGATGAGTTGCATATATTGCATGTGCTTTCGGGGGCTTTTGTTATTTACAAATGATACAATGAGTTTGAATCGTGACATTATTCAATATTTTTCTTATCTAAACATCATAATAGATATATAGCTGTTTTGGGCCCTTTTAGTTGGGCCCCCCAGGCCCAGGGTCCCTACCTTGCCCAGCAGTCCACCCCCTGGTGTTTTTTCCTGAGTGTATTTCACTGATGTTTCTGACCAGGAGTAGCTGTGGGTCGTGATGCAACAGCTGTGTGTCATGGCAGGTGTATTGCTAAGGACCCATAGAAGCGCAGTGGTCAGTGGGAAGTTGTTTGTATGAGCGGTTCTCGAGGAAGCTGCAAGCAGCAACACCACAGGCCAAGCATTAGGCCCATTCTGAAGAGGCATGTTTTGAATGGACACGGCACTATTCAGGACAAATGCTACCAGCATGGAAGCTAACAGTAGCCTGTATTCAACTCATAATAATCACTTAGCTATCAAATAATACATTTGAATGAATTCCAATAATCCTGCAATAAATACCCTACTATCATTGCGAAGGTTTTCTCTGGTTTTTGACTGCGATTTCAAACTAAGATTTCAAATCATTAACAGACCTGTATTACAAACCAGAGGCACTGAGATTGAGAGAGGTGGAGATTTACCAGGCAGGATCTAAAGATGCTATTATTCCAGCGTTTTTGGAGCATGACCCAAAGCAGACAGAATATCTTCTGTTGCCTTGCTTCAACCATTAAAAAATAAATCTGTATCTTACAATCCCCAACTTTTTTGAAAGTGCAACCCTGAATCACTATTGTCCTTAAAATATAACTGATCATCAGTGTTTGCTGCCCTCTAGTGGCCACTTTGGAAAACTACTATTCCTCAAAAATGTTTTACAGTATTAGTGTTGGTATAATTATTTCATATAAATATAATAAAAAATAAAATTGTTAACAATGTGATTATACCAAATTGAAAATAAAAATAGCAACACTAGTATTCATAAACTTAACAAGTTGTCTGGTCTAGTTAAATAATCTTAGATGAGGAAATTAACCCACAAATTGAAATATATTGTGGATGATCATTTCCTTTGTGGTCACAGTATGAAAGTACACCACAAATTAATAAGCCGACAGATATTAATGCTGATACTCATGTCATTAATGTCAGTTACAGGTTTAGTAGTGCAGCATAATGTATTATTTTACAGCAGAACTACACGCTACCTTGTGAATAGCATTGCGGTTGCTGGCAGTCCACTGAAATAAATGTATTTGTAATAATAACCTCCATAGTAGTCACAGTTGGGAACTATAGATTTCATGCAGAGACCCTTTAATTATTTGTGTTGGTTTACGTTTTTAAAAAACATCTATTTTGTCTCGTGGCAGCTGCAACAAGTGAACATGAGTCTTACCGGAAACGCAGCGAGTGTATCTTGCAAAAATAAAACCATATTCTTTTATTTTGGCGAAAGACACTCATTTACAATCTAAAATACATATTTAACAGTTACAGAGGAAAAACTGCAATTTGATGGGTTTGAACCCCTGCTCAACTTTACCCACGGGTTACCGAACACGGTTAGTGTAAGTTAGTGTGTACTAAATTTAATTCGCAAATTCCTGTCTTATTTTGAAAGGGTTTGCTCGAATTGTGTTGTTCTTTCGGGTTAGCTTGACGCGGCGCATTGATCGTTAGCAGCCACGTCTCAAAGTCAGGTGCACACATTCTCGATATGGGTGACTCCGATAGATAGGTGGTGTTTGTGTACAGGGAGTGTGGTGGAATATGGCGGACAGCACGGCTGGCTCTGTAGCCTCCACTCATTTCGCTCCCATGCTACCGCACGAGACAGCGGCTAGCTAACGTCAATGGGCAACTTCCTGCTTTCACAGCGCTCTCTGTTGTCTCGTTGACTGGCTGGGTTTTGCGATATTTCTCACTCCAAGTTGAAGCACCCAGAGTCAAAGAGGTAAGAGTTCTTTACATTTTGAGTTTGCATTTAAATCCTGATACATTGCGTCCTAGCTAATTAACCTACACCAAGTTTATAGGCTGTGTTGTTTCATTAGCATCAAAGCTCAGGTTGTGCTTGTTTTTAAAGACAGTTAACGGTACACCAAGTAGCACAGTCTGTGTGAAAAGTGTTCCGTGTTTGCTTCACGTGTTATTCTCGGTCTTCTTTCAGCAACACGTTCAGTTAAGTTAACATTAGCTCAAACGACTGCTCACTTTCATATGAGCGCTTGTCTGTGTGTGTGTGTGTGTGTGTGCGCGCGCTTGTCTGTGTGTGTGTGCGCGCGCGCTTGTCTGTGTGTGTGTGTCTGTGTGTGTGTGCGCGCGCTTGGCGGTGTGCGCGCGCGCGCGCGAGCTTGGCGGTGGGGGAGACAAGATTACGAAATAGTGGTTCAACATAGGTGTTTGTAGCATCAGTGTAGTAGTTTACAAATGTACAAAGTTATGCAATATTGACCCTTTACAATGCGTGCAGAATCAATGAAAGAAGTGAGAATATTAACATAAGTAGTATCATCATCCTTTACTACATTGTCAAGTACTAACGTGACATGCAACACAGAGGCTCTCAAATTCAACACACACCAAGCCAATAAAGTGAGGGATAACTATGTTAAATAGAAACATGGACTAAAGACAATGTTAGACACTATAAAACAAGTGTTAAATATATAAGTCAGTCAGACACAGCTAAACAACAATAAAAGACATGCATGCAGGTAGATGAGGGTCGACCGGCAATTTCAAGACAGACAAACAGGAGACAACAGACAGATGGGGGGGGGGGGGGG